ACTTTCGTTATATATTTTAGTTTTTAAAACTAGATTAACTTTTTCAAAATCTTGCTTTTAATAACTCTTCCAATCTTTTTAACAAATATTTTTCTCCAAAATCTATCGTCGTTATATTTTCCTTTCATTATCTCTCTAACTTATTATCTTCCTCTCTTTGCATCTCTCTTATCTCTAAAAACTCTCCTTTTAACTTTTTCATCTCTCTAACATGTATATCTTTTCAAAACTTTCAGTCTCTATTCTCTCTAAAATTTCTTTCCATCTCTCAGGCATTTCTCATTTAACATTTTAGAATGAGAGAAAAAGTAAAATGTTATTAAACATATTTTAATTTCTAAAAATTAGAAGAAAAAAACCAAGAACAAAAGATGTTATTAAGGAGGTTTTTTGTTCTTTTTGAAAAATGTCTGATAAGTTCATTTTGCTTTCAATTTTTTAAATTGGAAAACAAAATTGAAACTAAGTAAATTTTCAAACGAGAAAACAAGAATGTTATGTATTTTTAAAATCTCACTTTTTTAGGCACTATTTTTATCTCTGTAACATTATTTTTTAACATATTTGTCCCAAAGTTACCTTTCCCTTTTTTGAATTTGTCTCTCCCTAACTTTTTCTCTAAATTTCTTTCTGACTTATTTCTCTACGACTTATCTTCGGCTCACCTAAGTTATTTTTCTCTAATTAATCTCTCTGAAAATTTTTTTGGAACTCTTCTGCTCTCTAATATTTTGTACATTATACATATAAGATCAAATTTAATAATTATAGTAAAATTAATAAAAACATTTTTTTTTCTATTTTCTAAAAATAGAAAACTAATCATAATTATTACAATGTTTGGTTTTTTATTTCTAAAAATGAATAATAAAACAAATCCGATCGAAGTTCAAGAATGAAATAAATAGTCTTCTTTGTAATTTAATTGAGTTAATATGTACTTGAGACAAATTAAATTTGAAAATGATCATAAAAATTCTATTATTTTTTTATGGTAGTTATTTCGATGCTTATTGTCAGTTTCATGGCATTTTCCCCTCCCGACTCCACTTGAAAATATTAATAGAATTTTTTAAGGAAAATTTGACGTCATTGCGAAAAATGAACATGACGTCAAGTCTCTAAGTTAACAAATAAATTTTTGCAACAACGGCACTATCAGCAGCCAAGTGGTTAATGTTCCCCATCTAAATGCGTTTAACTACTAGTTCTTAAAAAACAGTTAAAGATTTGATTTCATTTTTAGTCTTCAAGCTTATGATATCTTCTGGAGTCCAAATCTCATGACAAGTTTAGACACCGAAAGATTTGGTATTAACAAATTAAGCCAAGTGTCTAAGCTTGCCATAAGATTTTGGATTTGGAAGACATCGAAAGTTTTTTATATTAAGTTCACTCAAGGTTCAAATTTGAAATTTCTAAGTCGGTATCATCGAGAGGAAAATTAAAATTTAATAAAGAAAACTTACACATACATTTTTTGAGTTTACTAAGATTTCAAAAATATTAATAATAAGTACAAGTAAAATATATAGAAAATTACCAAGTACAATTTCAATATATATTTTTTTTAAAAATGAAAACCTAAACGAATACAAAGTATGATTTTACAAAGAAAAAAATGATCGAGTACTTTAGTTCATAGTCTTTATGTTAAGAATATTGTAATATTTTAAGTACTAAGGTTTCAAAAAAAGAAGTATAAGTTTAAGCATATTGGAAAAGAATGCCGTATTTCTTATTAAAAAAGGTTTATTCATGAAAATGTAAAAGGATCCTGATTATTTGTTTTAAAAAAGAAAAGAAAAGAGCAAGAAAAAGGTAGAAACAAATAAAATTGATAGGATAGGAAGAAGAGAAGTGAACGAACCTTCAAAGAGAGCGGCGCCTGCAGAGGCTTGCTATCTGCCAACAAAACCATACTATAACCAAACAAATTAAACTGTCTCTGAAATTTTTATTGAAACAATCTAGCGTTGAAGTATTTTTGATCATTTCTTAGAAGTCTCCCTTCTCACATTTGTTATATTTTTTAGGTAAAATTTGAAAATAATACAATGCACCTTAAAAATTTAGATCTCAAAATGAAGCAATACACTGTTAAATTTTTTTTTTTTTTTAAAATTAGAATCAAAATGGAAAGAATGAGTTTAAGAAACTATATTTGTTTTGTTTTCAAAAGTAGTCTTACGGATTGTGATCTCATATGAGTTGCAAGATAGAAATTGAAATACGGTCTTAAAAGTAAAATTATATTTCTCATAAAGAAAAAAGAGTTATTCATGAAAACATACTACAAAAATATTCAAACATGTTTCAGACAATCTGTTTTTATAAAGAATAAAATATTTTAAAATCAGAATCCAATCGCAAGATTTATCAAGAAGAATCCCATTCATTTGTTAACAAAAAGAAAAAAAATCTAAACAGCTAAAATTGATAGGAAGAAGAGGAGAAGAGAAGGAACCTGGATAATTACGAGGCGAAAGCTTGTCCTTGACTGATTCAACCGTCAAGAGAGAGTGGCGCGCGCAAAGCCTCACTGTCGGGCAACCATTACCAAGCATATACCGTAATAACTGAACAAATCTGGAGATTTTGATGGTGGAGTCATTCCAATCCTCAATTTCAGCCATTAAATTAGCTAAAACCAAATGCAAATTCCGAAACCATCATTTTCTTGCAATATCATCGTCGTTCGCGCTCGCAGTTCCTCTGTTTCGAAACTGTAATTTTCTTTCTTATGACGAAGCGATCAGACGAGGAAGATGACAGGGATTCCTCCAAATCCAAGCGGAGGGAGCTAGGGCTATCCTGTATGTTGAACACCGAAGTCGGCGCCATCCTCGCCGTCATCCGCCGTCCACCGTCGGAGTTGAATTCGCCATACATTTCTCCAATCGACGACACTTTCGATTCCTCGATCCAACAATCCTTGAAATCCCTCCGAGCTCTCATATTCCATCCGCAGCAGAAATGGCGAACCATCGATCCTTCGATCTACATCTCTCCGATCCTCGACGTGGTACAGAGCGACGACATTCCGGCGGCAGCCACCGGCGTGGCTCTCTCGGCCTTACTAAAGATAATCAAGGTCGAGATCTTCAACGAGAAGACTCCCGGAGCGAAAGACGCAATCAATCTAATAGTGCTGGGAATCACAAATTGCAAATTGGAAAAAACTGACCTCATAACCGAAGACGCCGTGATGATGAAGATCCTGCAGGTTCTGGCCGGACTGATGAACCACCGCGCGTCGTACCTGCTGAACGATCAATCGGTTTGCACAATCGTGAACACCTGCTTCAATGTAGTTCAACAATCGGCGAACAGAGGCGATCTGCTGCAACGAACGGCGAGGTACACGATGCACGAGCTGATCCAGATAATCTTCTCCCGATTGCCGGAAATCGAGGTGAGGGATGGAGAGGATTCAGAATCGGATACAGAGGACGCGGATTTAGGAGGGAGTTTGGATTCGGGATACGGAATTAGGTGCGTAATCGACGTTTTTCACTTCCTGTGCTCGCTGATGAACGTGGTGGAGATGGGGGAGATGATGGATGGATTGGCGTCGCGGACGGCGGACGAAGACGTGCAGCTGTTCGCTCTGGTTCTGATAAACTCGGCGGTGGAGCTGAGCGGAGACGCGATCGGGAAGCATCCGAGGTTGTTGAGAATGGTTCAGGATGATCTGTTTCACCATCTCATTCACTACGGCGCCCGTTGCAATCCCCTGGTTCTCTCCATGATCTGCAGTACAGTTTTGAATATCTATCACTTCCTTCGCAGGTATTAAACTTTGGTTAAATCCATGTATATACAATCCATTAAATTTTTAGGTTGGGTGGTGTTGTTCATCGTTACATAAATTTATTTAATAATTTGCTTTTAAAAACATACCTTATAATCTTCCACAAGCTTTTAAAAAGATAACATATAGACTCTAGGAAATATAAAGCTTTATTTTCATCAAGAGAATAAGATACAAATCCTTCTTCCCCAAGGAATACCCTTATAGTTTTCTAGGCTTTTTTTGATACAGCATGTTAGGGAGAAGATTCGAACTCACAACCTTTTAGAAGTATATGCCACAACCTTTATTTTCTAGACTTTGGAGGAATTGGTCTTCTAAATCTACATATACACTATACTATGCACTGGAAATGACATGTCTGAATTACTATGTCGGGGTTGAAGTTTCAAATTTTCACTCATTTTCTTATTTTTCTCTCTTCTAAAAAATTTAATAGACTACTAATAAATACGTAAGTATTTTTCTTCCACTCCAACTATACTTAGATGTTTACTAGTTAACAGTAATTATTGTGCTAATCACTCACAAAAATTTGACAGTCTTTTAGTCTTTTGAAAAATAGAAAAAGTGTTTTTTTTCTACTCTCTTACTTGTTAAAAATTTAACAATGGCCAGCCAAACATGTTGATCCGTAAGTAACTATCTTCGTGCAAACTACCTATAAACATTTAATCTTTTTAATCTTTCGAAAAAAAATTCTTTTTTACATTCTCTCCTATCTATCAAAATTCAATAGCCACCAATAAAAATGGTTGTTCATCGGTGACCAAACAACTAAAATATTTGCTAAAGCGAGCCTAGCTTAGAAATTGTGAGTTCGATCTCCCACCCCACTCCACCTTACGTGTTGTAATTTTAAAGGGAAAAAAACCACTAAAATATTTAAAGAGTGAAAATAATGTTTTCCTTTTTGGTGATTTGGTGGCTGTGGGCAGGTTTGTCCGACTTCAACTAGAAGCCTTCTTCGTGTACGTTGCATTGCGATCAGCATCTTATGGAAACTCAACCCAAATCCAAGAAGTAGCATTGGAAGGAATCATCAACTTCTGTAGGCAATCCTCCTTCATTCTCGAAACCTACGTAAACTACGACTGCGATCCCCTCCGCTGGAATCTGTTCGAGGACATCGGAAAATTGCTCTGTAAGCTCTCATTTCCGGCCGGCAGCCCCCTGAGCAGCTTACAAATCCAAGCCTTCGAGGGCCTTGTAATCATGATCCACAACATCGCAGAAAAGCTTGACAAACTAGAAGGAGGGCCTTCTCGTGGCAGCAGTTTAAGGGTATACCCAGCCCATGTCAGCGAGTACAGGCCCTTCTGGGAAGAGAGGTCCAAAGAAGACTTGGAATTGGAGGGCTGGCTTAACTACGTGAGAGTAAGAAAGGCACAGAAGAAGAAGATTTTGATTGCTGGTCACCATTTCAATCGAGATGAGAAGAAAGGATTGGCATATTTGAAGCTGTCCCTGCTGGTGCCTGATCCTCCGGATCCCAAGGCTTATGCTTTCTTTTTTAGGTACACTTATGGACTGGACAAACAGTTCGTTGGGGAATATCTTGGTGATCCTGATCCGTTTCACGTGAGAGTGTTGGCAGAGTTTACAGGGACATTTGAATTTACAGGCATGATTCTAGACACTGCTCTTCGGACTTACCTTGAGACGTTTCGTCTGCCGGGAGAGGCGCAGAAGATTCATCGCATACTGGAGGCCTTCTCGGAGAGGTTTTATGATCTACAATCTTCAAATACGTTTGTGAATAAAGATGCAGTGTTTGTTCTTTGCTATTCTTTGATAATGCTGAATACTGATCAGCATAATCCACAAGTGAAGAGAAAGATGACAGAGGACGAGTTCATCAGGAACAACAGAGAGATTAACGGAGGGAAGGATCTTCCTAGAGATTATTTATCTGAGCTCTTTCAATCGATTGCGAATAATGCGATTATTCTCGCACCGCAGTCAGGTCTGCAGCTTGATATGAACCCTAGCAAATGGATTGAATTGACGAATAGATCCAAGATTATACAGCCTTTTGTGTTGTGTGATTTTGATATTCGCCTGGGTAGAGATATGTTTGCCTGTATTGCTGGTCCCTCAGTTGCATCTCTTGCTGCTTTCTTTGAGCATGCTGATGAAGATGAGATGCTGAATGAATGTATTGAAGGATTGTTCTCCATTGCTAAGATAACACAGTGTGGATTGGAGGACACGCTAGATGAACTACTGGCATTGTTTTCGAAATTTACTACTCTATTGAACCCTTATGCATCTGCAGAAGAAACACTTTTTGCTTTTAGTCATGATCTGAAGCCAAAACTGGCCACTCTAGCGGTTTTCACCATTGCGAACAACTTCGGAGACTCGATTCGCGGGGGTTGGAGGAACATTGTGGATTGCCTACTTAAACTCAAAAGACTTAAACTGCTTCCCCAGTCTGTTATTGAATTTGAACTCGCTTCGACCGCACCACATGATCTTGCAAAGTCGGAATCAGGTGTAATTTTTCCTTCTCAAGATCCTAAATTTTGCACCCAGCAATCCTCTGGTATGGCTAGTCGATTTTCACAATTTCTGTCTCTTGATAGTATGGAAGATTCTTTATCTCTCAACTTGAATGAATTTGAACAAAATTTGAAGTTCATCAAGCAATGTCGCATTGGGAACATCTTTAGCAACAGCTCAAACTTACTTGATGATGCTCTACTCAATCTTGGGCGATCCTTAATATTTGCTGCTGCTGGAAAAGGACAAAAGTTTAGCACACCGATTGAAGAAGAAGAAACTGTTGGATTCTGTTGGGATCTAATCATAACAATGAGCTTGGCTAACGTACACCGGTTTCAGGTTTTTTGGCCTAGCTTCCACGAGTATCTACAAGCAGTTATTCAATTTCCGCTTTTCTCTACCATCCCATTTGCAGAAAAGGCTGTTTTAGGACTTTTCAAGGTATGTCTTAAGCTCCTTTCCACTTATCAGCCTGAGAAGTATCCCGAGGAACTCATCTTCAAGTCCATAAATTTGATGTGGATGCTTGATAAAGAAATTCTCGATACTTGCTTTGAGGCCATAACACAATCGGTAAGCAAGATTCTTATTGAGTACCCAGCAAATCTCCAATCTACGATTGGTTGGAAGTCTCTTCTTCATTTGTTATCAGCCACTGGCCGGCATCCTGAAACCTACGACCAAGGAGTCGAGACTTTGATCATGTTGATGTCGGATGGGACACATATTACACGCACAAACTATACCTTTTGCATAGATTGTGCCTTTAGTTATGTTGCACTCAAGAATAGCCCTTTAGAGAAGAATTTGAAAATTTTAGATTTGTTGTCAGATTCTGTAAATTTCTTAATCCAATGGTACAGGAATTACTGTGCAGAATCAGGGAATAGTTTTAGTGTATCAAGCAATGCTAGTAGCTCCTCACTAGAGGACAAAGGTTTAGGATCTTCTAATTTTGCCTTGACTTTGTTTGTCAAACTTGGCGAAGCACTTCGAAAGACAAGCTTAGCTAGAAGAGAAGAGATAAGAAACCATGCCATCGTATCTCTTAAGAAAAGCTTTTTTCTGGCAGAAGAACTGGATTTCAGCCCGACCAACTGCATTAATTGTTTTAACCTCGTAATTTTTGCAATGGTCGATGATTTGCATGAAAAAATGTTGGAGTACTCAAGAAGAGATAATGCAGAAAGAGAGGCGAGAAGCATGGAGGGGACTCTAAAGATTTCAATGGACCTCTTGACAGATGTTTACTTGCTATTCCTGAAACCGATATCAGAAAGTGCCGGGTTTCGAACATTTTGGCTTGGGGTATTGAGAAGAATGGACACTTGTATGAAGGCCGATCTTGGAGCTTATGGTGAATCAAGCTTGAAAGATTTAGTCCCGGATTTATTAAGAAAATTAATCACAAATATGAGAGAAAAAGAGATATTGGTGCAGAAAGAAGGTGATGATCTATGGGAAACAACTTACATCCAAATCCAATGGATTGCTCCTTCCATTAAAGAGGAGCTTTTCCCGGAAGAAAGCTTTTGAACAGGAGAAAGGTTACTAGTAAAAAAAAATATAGTAGATTAACATTAACCACTGATAATTTACCTTTTTGTTTTTCCTCTTAGAAGGTAATCGGTGGAAATTTTTCTACCTTCTATAGAATGAAAAACGCAACAAATTCAATTATGTCAACTGTTTTCCTGTTATGAGCCTATCTTAAGATATATATAACAAGGGAGAAAAGGATTTCCGTTGGAGTTCCTTTAACAAATTTGTAGGAGTGAACGTTATATGTCGTCTCTGTAAATGAATATTTCATAAGCAACTTACTATAAGACAAAAAAGACTGACATTGTTCTTCAAGTATAGCTTCCTCCATCATGATGATCGAAGATAAAAGCTCAAACTTACAAAGTAATTCTAATATGCGGGCCGTAAGTAAAATATTTATCAAACATCTTTCTTGCTGAAAAGAAGGATTTATAGCTTCATTAAGAAGTGTGAGAATTTTATTTATTGATTCAATTAAATTTATTAATTTATCTATTTCCACGACTTTTTTCATAAACTTCAATTGTTCCATCGATAGATTGAGAGCTAGACATTTCCTTCCCATCCGATTTCTTACTGGTATTCGTACTTCTTTTTGGAGTTAGATCATGCGATAGGTCCTTCTTTTCATATTTATTGCAGAATCAGAATCAAGATTCAACCAGATCAACTTCTAAGAGAAATGTAATACTAAAATAAGCTTCCAGAAAGGTAGAAAATGAAGGCGAGAAAGATTATAATGATCAAAAGAGTAAGGTTTCAATGGCTACCTCACAACGTCTTCAAATTCGTCCATAAATGCACGCAATAGACCCGAAATACTAGCTCCGGATCATCATGTCCTCTTCTGTTCTTCCGAAAAATCCCTAAATATTGCTGTTAACGAAAATTTCAGATTGAAATGGAGTTGAGGAAACCCTAATTTCTTGGCTATGGCGCGAATCAGAGGATCGTCGATATCTTGAAGAGACAGAGCCGATCGCAAACCCGACTGTAATAAAAGGCGGGGAAATTCAAATTATCATGGGTGACTATTTATAGCATCTCATTTTCAAAAATAGGCTAAATTACCCAATTTAATTACAGCTTAATTTCGATTTTATTTTTATAGTTCTAGAAATTTTAAAACAACCCAATAATTGAACTTAAAAAGAAAAAAAAACTTTAATTTGGTCCTATAATTTAAAAATTTTTAATTTGACCTATACAATTTAATTAAAATTTACTGATACATTTTCTATTTATAAGGTAATGAGTATGACTAACAAATTCACCAACTACATTACTTCTTATAATTAAGTTAAATCTAAAAAATGTCAGGTATATCTTATATCTTTTAATTTAATTACTTTTTTTGTGTACTCTCCCTGAGTAGTTATATTTTTAAATATCTAAACTACAAGAGGATCAATCACTTTTAAWTTTTTTTTTTAGATAATCATCCTGAAGTATTTATTAAAAAATGGATTTGTAACTTTTTTTTTTAATTTTTTATTCATTACCAATCATGGTGGATTTTTTTAAAAAAATACTTCTATTATCTAAAACCACTTAAAAAACTATACTCAACCTACTCTAACTTAATTCTTTCAAAGGTAATGGTAGAAAAAAAAGTTTTATTTAAAAGAATTTTTAACACACTAAAAAAGTGGTGAATTTTTAAGTTGGTAAAAAAAGGTTGTGGGACATTTTGTGGAGAGATCAAATTCTAACTTTACAAAATAATAAGAGCTAAATTAAAACTAAATCTAAATTACAAGCAACAAATTGAAACTTTTAAAATTACAATTTAATCCTTACCCAAAATCGGTTATTTAATTATAAAAATACCTTTTGTTTTATTTAAATATAAAATCAAATCAAATATGTTCATATAATAAACAAAATGAACTTTTTGATATTTTGGCAAATAACAGAAACATTAAATAAAAGTGAAAAAGGAAAATGATGGCTTGGGTTCTAAGCCCAATAGTTAAGAGGCTTAAAACCCAACTTTCAACTTTGGGGCATGCCAATTGGGCCCGTCGGATTAAGAGATATTTTTAAATCAAACTAAAAAATAAATACTACGACTTCTATGTTTCTTTGTTTTGTCATCCATTTTTAAAAATCCTTTCAAAATCGAATTCAATTTTGAAAACCAAAGAAAATGTAGTTTATAAATATTTGTTTTTTATTTTTAAAATTTGCCTAAAATTCCAATGTGTTCTAAAAGAATGTAAAAACCATTATTAAAGAAATTATAAGAAAACAGGTACAGTTTTANAAAGAAAAGTGCAAACATACTTTAAAAAATTGTGAGAAAATAAGTTTAATTTTTATAAACAGAAAATTAAAAGTAAAATATTTATTATGAGAACAAAGTTTGTGATATATATATTCAATGAAATCAAATGTTGTTTCTTGTTCATTATTTTCATTCTCACTTAAGATTTTGATAATTGTGAATCAAAATATTATTGTCTACGAGGCTCACCTATTTTATAAAATAATAAGACGACCTGAAATTTTTGTAATGAAATAGTCCAAAGCCTTGATCCAAAGACTTGTCTACATTATTACTTAAAAAAAAAAAAGACTTGTCTATATTTTTTGTTGTAATATGACAAAAATATTGAAAATGAATGTGTCTAAGTCCCAATATTTACAAGAGAAAAAAGGAAAAAAAAAAAAGAGTTTTTCACATAATAGGATCTAGTTTTACTTTTAAATATTTAGTACGATAAACATGGGATGGAAATTAAGCATCCGACCTCTAAAAATGAGCCAGATGTTTTAAGAGCTATGCTTGCATTTTTCTTTTAAATACTTAATTCTTGTTTCTATTTAAACAAATTGATTGGACTTGTTTACAAATTAAAGTAAAAGCTTGCTGAGATTTGTCCTAACAAATAGATATCTTGGTGAGATTTTCATAAGATTTTATTGATACAGTATTTAAYATTATCTAGTGATTTGTCAATTTAAACAACTCAACTGGTTTAAGATACGTATTAAGGGTGTGAATTCGAATCTCCACTTCATCCTATGTATTGTTGTACTAAATCGAGTGATTTAACATGACTAATTTACTGATATTAATATTTACCTAATCCACCTACTACATATTTATCGGGTCATATTTCAATTTAGGAAAAAACTTATTTTTTAATTAATTGGTTTAAATACTATGTTAGTTCATCGTATATTTAGTTCATTTTAGTCACTGTAGTTTCAAAACATCTAGTTTGACCCCTGTACTCTTTAACTTGTATTCATTTTAGTCTATGTACTTTTAAAACATCTGTTTTGTTCATTATACTTTTAAAAAGTGACCATGTTAAGTTCCTTCATTTTTATTTTTATTCATTTTCCTCGATTATAGTCTTAATGTGATAAAATTTGTACATAAAATTTGTGATAAAATTTTGTAAATATGGACCAATTAATTAGTCACTTTTAATACGGAGACTAAAACGAACATTTCGAATGTACAAATACTGAAATAAACAAAATTTGAAATTACATTAACTAAAATGAAGGTTTTGAAATTACAGGACTAAAATGAATTAAAATAAAAAAATAGATGTACCAAAATAAATATTTAAATCCTAATTCATTTAAATTGAACGGTAAACTTTGGTTAAATTAATTTGTGTTTTCTTTAATGCAAAGGTATAAAATTTAATTTCTGTAAAATATATTAAGGCATCAATAAATTACATAAATTGCGTGATATTTCATTTTATAAATTTTGTATTCAGCTTGAGAAAATTACTTAATTTCTTTATATAATTTGTTTGGTGGTTAAAATAATTTTCGTAGGGCTGAGATGGACATGTCCGATTCATTGACAGCTGCCTCCAGCTGTCATGAAAGTTTTTCAGCTGAGCTAAGTAGTTTAGCTCCTTAACAGAATTCACATCTTTATTTGTTCTCTAGTGCACAACTTAGACCCATTCAATTTGAATTATTCACTTCACCCATTGTTTTTTCTTTTCTCAATTTGTATATATCTCAAATTCAACTTTATCTTTTTATATTATCAACGAAAACAATTCAAATTTCTATCCATTTAATAGTCAACAGTACAAATAAGAATACAACTGGCCAGTGAGATCGACAATGCTTTCATAATTTTAGAAATTTTATATTCTCAAGTATTCTAATATGATTTTTGAACTGTGAGTGAATGCCTATTTGGATCATTTTCATTATATTTATGTAGTTTGTTTATGAAAAGTCTTATSTGACGTGTCATAATACTSGTATTTTATGCCACATCAATTGAGTTTGGCATCGGATTTGAAAATAAGATAACCTAAATTTTTTATTAAATAAGATATAAAAATTTAATTACAATGATAAAATTGAAAATTTATGGTACAAAGACTAAAACACAAGCCATTTTAAAACATAAAGAATTAAAATAAAACAAGTGTGAAAATACATATACGTAAACAAGCATCTTTCCCAATACACCTTTGAAAAGGAATACTCATTTGTTTTTTTAATTCTTTAAAAATTTAATTTTATGAGTAGTAACCACCAAAAAAAAAAGTAAAAATTATATATAAATTATAAATTAGTCAAAGCATTTCACGAAGAAAATATTTTCGAACACATTTTCTTTATATTTTATGAGGGTCGACTTAATATTTCTTAATAAGAGTACATAGTTTATTTAAAAATTCAACTTAAAAATGGTGAATGAAGGAAGGAAAATAAAATCGAAAATAAGGTTTTGTTTGCGTTTCTTTTTGTTTGTTATGAGTTTGGGGTCAAACATTTGGATACCAAAATGCAGCTTTCACATTGAAGTGAAGCTAAATGAGAAAATTTTCAGACAATCTAAAGGATTTTTTCTAGCTGAAAATTTTCACGCGATATAAAAGAATTTTTTCAACTCAATCTAAAAGATGTAAAATAAAATAAGGACTTTGATATTTAAGAATGTGCAGAGTTGAGACTTACTATTATCGAGGAGTAGAAAATTGAAAATATCCTATGATTTGATTAAAAATCT